CTAGCTGTTAGAACGCTGGCCTTGTAATCCTGGGGTCTCGGGTTCGATTCCCGGCCGTGGCCGAATTTATAACTTGTGTTTGGCAAGGCCGTGGTCTAGGCAACACGGGGTTTTCCTCCGTGGCATCCCCACAATTACTCCATTCACACACAGAAGAAGGCAATGGCAAACCACTTCTGGATCATCTGCCAAGAACGTATATGAACAGGTCCCAGTCCGAGAAAAGGATGAAAGGATCCTGTTCATATGGACCTGTCGTCAGACAGAACACTAAATAATAATAATATTAACTTTACCGATAACCCATTGTGACATTTAACTAATTATCCCAACAACACTACGAAAATAAAAAGACACAGTACTATGGAGATTTTCATTACATCGTTTTATGTAATTTCGCATTGTAAAATATATCTTTCCTGGCCGTGTTATTAAAGAGTTGTATTTAAATTTAAATGCCTTTCCAGGTGGGATTAATGGTATATGGTCTGATGGGCAGTTCACCCTCAAGAGAGGACCGGGCGAAACATTTGCTGATGCTGAGACATACAGAGATCAACCCCACAACAACAACGAAAGAAAGGTCCACTTCTACGACACCGTCACACATCGTCCAGTCAGAAATCTCTCACGAAGACACTTCAATTCAGAGCGACGTAGGAGATGATATTTCTCAAGAACCTCGATCATTGCCCTACAGACGCATACCAACAACTGAAGATACTGATTCAGAGCAGGGTATAATGCTTAGTAGTAGTAAACATGGACGGAACGCGAAGGCCAACGCGTTTGTTAACGAAGGTCCTTCCACTCGCTTTCACAGGGTAGATACTTATCCGGTCTACTGGATACCACCGTTGATAGTAAGAAGCGAGCCGGTAATACAGAGTAGAATTATGAATAATATAAATTATCAGATACCTAGACCTTTCATGACAAGGAATTTGACAGCTGAGAGACTTGCACGTAACAGGATTAAAGTCTTCAAAAATGATCCTCAAACTGCACTTCCATATTATGGCTTTGCTTCTCCTAGTAAATACGCACAACTCTCCAGTTATCGCTATCCGAGCGAAGCTAAGAACATTCAAGATATCATTAAGTATCTAACAACGGATGATTCAAACAAATCATCACCTAGCAACAAAAAACAAGAAACAGTTGCTTTCCCGGTGCCTGTAGCCAATGGGAGAAGAATAAAATTTTCCGGAGTATACAAAACTGCTGTAAGGGACCATCCTGAGGAGAACCACGTCAAACCTGAAGAATCAGTTGAAGATTCAGTGACTTCAAGTCACCAGAAGATGATGTCAGATCCATCGTTGAATGGTCATGCTTACATAGCGGATCCCTTTCACGCTTTCAAACCATCCGACCCTTCCGAAGTTAATCTGCTAGCAAACAGCGACTTTCGATTTTCTCCTTTCGATAATCGAATTCGATTCCCTACTAATCGACCTCATAGAAACCGATGGGGTGTCCTTGAGATTAATCCAAATGACAAATATTTTCCACGCCCGCCGATAAACTTCGGTAAACCTTCAGCTCCATCGCCGTCTATCAGCGAAAATCATGACCCAGTAGTTCAGACGTACCCTGGCACATACACGTCTGCCATATATCGTCCATTCGGCAAAGAACCTTCAACAACGACTCCTCATTCGTCGACGAAAACAGCAAATAAGATGAAGCCTTTCAGTGTGATGTTGGATATATATCCGATGATGGAGGAATCTGTTCTTCAGACATCGTCCGGGCCATACAAGTTGCAGCCTAGACCGATGACGAGACCTGACCACGGTTTGGGGCACCACGTTCGGTTTTCGCAAGGAGTTAATCAGGAGAGGTTTCCTGAGCAGCTGACAGACAGCGAATCGAAACACCAGATGGTAGTTCATCTCAATCTCTACCCTAAGACGAAGAAAAACCACAAGTTCGGTAACAGGTCGGTATTAGTACAGCAGAAATCGTTTCTACAATAAATTACTTATAGATTCTACGCTGAAATTGCTCGGTTTCCATCCTGTGTTTCTGTTCCGTTGCTTAGAATAAAATTATTTCCACGAGGCACACATTTTGAAAGAGACTGTTAGTTTGACAAAACTTAATTTCATTTAAAATCACATAACTGACTAATAAAGCAAGTGTATATTGAACAGATACCAAAAATTCATGTTAATTGTGAAATGAAATAAGACATAAAACTTAATTAATTAATTATAAATCGAACATTTCGATAATATATTTTAAATATTAAATGTTAATTGTAGTAATAATATTTTAATATTTAATAAAATATTTTATTGTGATTAGACGGTTAAAATTAAACAATTACTTAATTAAATTCAAAAATTTTCTGCAAAATCTTGCGCAATCTAAAATTTTAGTCTGTAACTGAAGATGGTTGTCTTCTGTGTAGTCGAAATTTACTAACGTTTCAGAGGTCCTTGCTGCCTCCAAAATCAGGGTGATGAAACTTCTACCAGACTACAACAACCCAGAAGACAGCCATCTTCAGACTGGCCGCCATGAGAACCTCAAATCCTACTCTGTAACTGTTCAGAGTAAATTACAACTCAGTTAATCCGACGCACGTGAGGGGGCAGAGGTCATAACTGACACAGTGTCCAGTGACTGGATTCGATTTCTGCTTTCACAGAGTTAACGTAAATCGGATATCAATGGCACGTAGTGAAAATTGAAATAAAAACTCTCTTGCATTAATGGAATAATTTAGCCAATGGTGAGCTATTCCACGAACTCTGACATAAAAAGGATTCTTTTGCCGATAACGCAACACGGAACAAGATTTGATACAGTTCACAGAATTTTAAAATCCCTTTCATTTCAATACTTAATGATTAAAATCTGTACAAATACGACTTTGCGTCTTATTTTATATGAGCGTCGGACTTGGAAAGTGATTCTACCATAAGCTCGTAAACAGATCGGTTGTAAGGGGAACATTCTTTTATAATGAAACGTAAATAACAGAATGAAGAAATTCCCATAATGAGGAGCTTAAGAACTTTAAACCCTCACCATATATCAAATAAAAGATAGTAAGATTGGTGGTACGTGCAAAGATTTGACTTTAAAACCCTGAAAAAAAGAATCAATTTCGAAGGCCAATTCGTAGGTGGATAAAGAACACGAGAAAATAAATTTTAAAAATATGAGACCTCTTTGACAACCTGATAGTCGCTCAGCTAGTTAATAATTTCCCCACCATTAATGTAAAGCAAAATTTAATTATAGTATTCGTAAGAATGTGGCACCGGTTTCCATTCTGAGCCATATTAATCCAATCCACATCCTCTGGCCATATTCATTTATTTATCATTTATCAAGCCTATTTTAAAATTATCTTGCATTTGTACTTAATTCTACCGGATGGTAGTTTTTATTTAGGTGCTCCGACGAAAACTTCGTACTCATTTGTTATCTCCCCCATACGTGCAAGATTTCACATTTTTTAATTCTCCTTATGTGTTCATTTTAATAATATCATTAAAATGTAAGTAATAAAAAATGTTTCTGCAACAGAAACGCTGACGTACGTGGTTTTCACGTGGACGCCGAGAGCAACACGCACTGCTGTGGTAGTGATGACGCGGATAATCTCCGAAGAAGTAAGTTCTCCTGATTCATAAATTTCTTATCGGCTATACGCAATATTAAATATGCAATCAATCTTCCTTAAATCTTATACACAAATATAAATACAAATTTCAATTTATGAACGAGGTTAAAATTTACTACAACTTCGAAGTCTTTCGCTGTAGAATAATTTTAAGCCGATAAAATATTAAGTTGAAATTAAAATCAAGAATCGTGAAGAATTTTCAGACAAGATTTTCCGTTTGATTTAGACCTCGACAGCTCACCATAGCCGGAATTTAAGTAATTAAATACCTGATATAAATTGAATATACCGTATTATAAAGCATGTCCCGTAAGTTCAGGGCCACAGGAGAACTCTTTGTTTGTTGGTGAAATGAGAACAAATGTTAAAAGAGAAATTTCGTTTCAAATCGTACTTTTCCAGCTTCAAGTTTTGGGATTTGTTATAATCGATAATTTTTAAAGTGCATCACCGTAACGACTTAACCTAAGTAAAATATTCTTACACTTACGACTGGAAACATTTGATTTCAAACAACTTTTCCCTTTTTTAATATTTTTTCTATATTTTGCCAAATAATCAAGTTTTTCTATGACCACTGACTTATGGGGAATTCTGCATATATATATATATGACTATGTTTTATTAATATATGCTTTGTTTTTTTGATTTCTATAGTTTACGATGAATCAGAAATCGATAATGAAGATGATTACAAACAACAGATATCATCGAAATTTTCTGAAGTCATTCACAAACAAGACAGTAGTGACTTAAAACAGCCAGGAGAGAGAATTACGGCCGAAATCAACTCCGGGTCTCAAGTTCTGGAGCAAGAAGCCTTTGAGACTGCTCCGGGCACTGGAAGTTCTCAACCCTTGAGGAACCACGGAACTGAGAGGGACCCCTACACACCTCTCGATGTTCTTCTCGTGCCAGCAACTAACATTTCAGCGGACGTTTCCGGAATTAACTATGAGTCATGATAGCGAAGAGTTAGAAACCGAACAGCTTATTAATTTGCCATGACAACGGCACCGCGAAATCATTAAGGACTCTCAATTCACAATTCTGACTCCCCCCCTCATACGATTTCCGGTTCAAAATCTTTGTTGCTTACGAAGGAAGTTAGACGAATGAAAGACTAATTCCTTTGTTGTTTGAATGTCTTTTGAAATTATTCGTACAATAGAAGAAAACTTGCTAATCTGGAATCCTTGTTTCAGTAAGCATACAATAGCTTCAGAGGTTCAAGCTGCCTTCATTATGATTATCGACCTGATGATGATAATGAAAACAGCAAGGACCTCTGAGACGTCGGTAAATTTCTACCAGACTAGATGGTATAATAAGCCGGAAGATAAACATCTTCGTAATTATTATTTGTTGAAGATATGATTATTTAATTTCTTAATTTAAATTAAACCATGGTTATAATCAATTTTAAATCATTCATACTAGAGCAAAGTTTCCTCGTATGTGTAATTATGAAATCTGACAAACAAATTTTTAATCATAATTTTCGACATTTATTAGAGAATTTCAAATTTATGTTCTTCTAATAGTGCAAAATTCGACATGAAAAATTCAAACTCTCATTCAATTTGGTTAGTAATTCATATTAATTTAAGATGCACGAATTATTATTGTAGTTATTTGATGTAATGAAACATTATATCGATACCTGCAAATTTCATACGAAACATTTTTAAGTATAAAACATAAATATATGCAAGTTACATATTTTGTAGGTGGAGTTTGAAATTTTTTTATGAGCTACAGAGAACAAATGACAACCTGAGGACACATTTAGGATAACTCACGCCTAAGTTTAAAAAAAAATAAGCAATATCAAACACAGAACAAACAAAGAAGCCTGATGTGTAAAAATTCAGTTTGGGCAGTGATTACTCGAAATTGTTTGATCACTTCGCACAAAAGGGCTTCCAAACAGAAAATTTAGCTTGTATAATTTTTATTTTTACAAATCTTTTCGTTGTTTTTAAGCCTATACTAATACAAAAAACTACAAATTACTAACGATGACGTCATGAAACTATTATTAGCGTTATAATGATGGTGCTTTGACCAGAATTTTACATTCGACGTTTCCAAATGGCTCTAGTGATATCACAATTTTATCTAAGGTAAATTAACTTTTCATGAACTGGGCTTGTGGTTGGTTTCCCTCGCCACTGCGCGGTTAAGACGTTTTCTGCAAATTCCCCATGTAGCCTGGGAGTTCCTCGACCAGTTACCGGAGAATGTAAAAATACATGCAATTCTTTATGTAAAGAGCCTGTTGATGTTGGGCCGATTTTAACCAAAACGTGTAGATGGACTTCAATGAAACGATTAACTATAAAATTTAATTAGTACAGACGGATAGACAAGCAATATGAAGGTAATAGTCCGTTGTTTACAAAGAACCTAAAACTTTAGAAGCAATAATCATCTGAATTCTTCCTTTCGAGTCTCAAAACACGCTTAAAACTTGCAATAATATAAGACGTCCGGCAATAAGCTTAAGAGTGGAACCAGTCAAATAAAATGAATAAGAAAAATTTCGTATTTAAATTACTTAAAAAATTTCATGTCTGCTAGTTATTTCATTGTTTACGCTGTGTCTCCGAAAACAAAGTCTACAACAACTGAAACTTTCCGCAGTAGTAATTAATAACTCCTAGTTAGTTATAAATCTTTAAATTTGTTTTAATTGAACGTCGAATTACAAAAGCCATAATTCCTTTCAATTTTAAGAAAAATAATTAGAAAGTTTTTAATGTTCTCATTAGATTTTTATGTTCCTAGAGTTTATGTAAACAAGAGTATTATTAATTATTAAGGACTTCAAACGTTTAACTTACATTTGATCTGGATCGTAGTTCACCAACATTAAAATCGACGTCATACACTCTGATTCCATAACTGTTGTCGAACTCCCAATGTGGACGTCTGCCTGAGTACGGGCAAAGAGACACTGATGTGTTCAACCCACTATTTAGGGACACAAAACTCAGTGTAACAAACCAAGGTATAATAGGACAATTTAACAAAAACAAGACGAATCTAACAGGGCAGCATTCATCACGAGTACAAGCTCGGAAAATTGAATTGGGGTATTAAAGAGGATTTCTCGACATTCGTGCTTATACTAAACACGAAAGGAAATAAGCTCTCATTTGAGGAAGTCCGTACGCTACAAAGCTCCTAGCTGAACTAATATCTACCACTCCCTACAAAAACACGCACCGAAGCATTGATTGGAACCAAGATTCGATCTACCATTCAAACATCACAGCATTTAACAAGTGGGATTACAATATTCCTAGCCGGAAATACATACCAGTAACTAGGTCCGGAAAACTGACGTCGTAAACAGACGAGAGTCTGGAGACAAGGCA